GAGAGAGAGATTCCCTCTTGGACAGCCGATAAGCCTCGAGTATTATTCCTGGTATTTAAATACGGTACTCGTGACGTACGACGACGAAAGGGTTGCACGAAGAAGGACATAGAGAGAGAGCAAAGGGCGCGTGTACACATTGTGCACAGTAACCCCCTTTCCTCATTGTTTGTATGGAACTCGCGAGAGAGATGCTTCACAGACTAACGATCCTGGTAATGATTCTGGAATCAAAAGCAAGAAGGAGAGAAAAAAAAGATACGAGGGAGACGCAAAGAGACTGGATTGCGGACGGTAGAGAATCGAGGGCGGCGCGGGGTGAGGCCGCAAGGGAGAGAAATCGCGAGGGAAACGAGAGACAGCGGTATCCCTCCGTGGTGACTTCTCCCCGTCGCCCGCACCTACCGCGAAGAGTGGAGTTCCCTCGCCCCAATTACCGTGCCCGGCGTGCAACGCCTACCATCCACGCTCATAATTTGCATCCGACCTCTATTTCCTCGCGGCAAAGCGCGATGCTGCGTGCACTCTTGATCATCCTTGATCAACGACGTTCGGGAAGCGAGAGCGGTACGACAAGTTTCAAATGATCTCTCTCGTTTGAGAGATGCGAACGATTGAGCTATTACCCTATAAGCGCACAATAATCTTAGAATATTATATTAAAGGGGGGCAAATAATATTCATATAACATTCTAGGAATATTGTGCGCTTATATAGGATATACGCTCCAAGATAGAGACGAAGACGAAGCGCATAGGCAATAAGCAGCGAACCACAATTTCTACATTTGTATAGTTGATATGAGATTCGTCCTCGTAATAAACTTTGTGTATATCGATGTATATGCAGGGTGGAAGATACTCGATGTGGCTTACTCACGAAAGACGAAAAGGAGGCCAACGACGGGCTGACATTGACTCCAGGAAGACGAGTGACGACCAACGAGCATCCTTTCATTCGTCTCTCCCTCTCCTGCTTTCTATGTAAAACACCTAGGACTTCTAGTAATGTCCCACAGGACCCGGGCGATCTTTTCGTTGTCGCCGTCGCTCAGGCAACACCCACTTTCTCCCCTGGCCTCGTAACCTCGGATGTTACCACTTTCCTTCCGTCTCGCCGCCGCTCGCAGGGGCGCAGCGTTATCCTTCGTCGTCCTCGTCGTCACCGTCGATCACCACCACAACCACTTCCACCATGAACTACCGCCGCCACCGCTGTCACCGTCGTGATAGCTGTCACAGCCACAACAAGCAACTGATGGCAATAGTAGTGGACGCTTGATGTACTGTCAGACAGTTTCGCACCCCTTCAGCGTGTCACGTGAGCTTTCCGTAATTTCTCTCTCTCTCATTCTCTCTCTCTCTCTCTCTCTCCCTCAATCCCGCTTCCGCCCTAGTATCCCCCTCTCCCACCTTTCGTCGGGTGCGAGCTATCGACTCACCCCCGTTGGTAATTAATCGCAGCTCGTCGCGCCGGGTCTCGCATCATGTCACGATCGTCGGACAGGATCATCTTGCTCTCGCGCGTCCTCACATCGCGACGTCGTTTGCGTGCCGTCGCGCGCAAAAAACGGAGCTGTACGACGAACGTTGCAGAAGGAGTAACGGAGGAGCGACGCGCTCGTTCCGTCGCGGCCGTCGCAGTGGCCGGTGTGGCTGCGCGATACCCTTGCTAGTTGCTACTTCGCCAGCGGAGCCAGCCTCCCTCCACTATCCCCTACCATCCTGCCCTTTTCTCTTCACCTCTCCCTGCCCCTTGTCGTTCAGTTGCTGTCGTTGCTGACTGTCCTAGGGAGAGAGTGTACGCGTGACCGTAGCACGCGTGTACCTCGGCATGCGCCCTATCTCGAACACGCGCCGTGTGAGCCCCACGGGTCTCGCGAGCACCCTTGGCGTCATCTGGGGTTGCGCGGACACACTATATAGGGGTGGCTGTCTGCATCAGTGCAATTCTGTAACTTACCCTCTTCTGTTCTCTCTTTCTCGAAGTGATATATGAGTGTACGATGAGATATCGTGGTGTAGAATTAAAAATCTGAAAAATATTGTTAAACGTGTTACTAGGGGTATATTTCTTTCTGAATTTAATAGTTTCAAACGACTCGACTCTTTGAAACTGAGAGAATTATTTCAAATCTTTTAAAACTCTCCTTTTGCGAATAAAACATAAAGTTTTAGGTAACATAGCAGCTAAATGTAATACAGCAGTAATTAAAATAGCTAAATTTTATTTACTGTACAATGAAGGAACTTAAATGTAATTCGCAAATATTATCCTCGCAATGGATTCGATTTGATTCGTTTTCGAATGTATTGTCACATTCGATTCGCTTGACAAATGTTTGATTCGTTTCTACTTTTCTCTGATATGTGGTTTTTCGGTTTTGTATTTTTTTCCATAAAGAATTGACAATACGCTTGAAGTTAACACATTAATTATATCATTTCAGTTTTTTTTGCATAAAAAATATGGAAATTCTTTTCATTTTTACATAGAACTATGGAACTATGAAAAGTGTTATTGAAACTATGATTATTTTCGTTATGTCAATAAAATGATGTGCTAACTTTACAGATACTTTGGTATCATTTCCTGTGAAAATTTTTCTTTCAATTAACAGCTGCGTTCAGCAGAACGTTTATTTTGCGACTGTTGGCAACTTTTTTCGTGCTGATTGGATTATATTTTTAGATCTAAAAGATATAAATTAAATAAACGTTTTACCGTACGCTGCTAATAAGTATTCGTTACAATGTTGCGACGTAATCACCCTCTCAATTGGTGCTTTTTTATAAAAATGTTTTCATGCGTTATATTTCTTACATGTACCCTCTATAGATAGAGAAGAGATTTTCATAACAAAGATATTCTCAGTGGTTTGCTATTATTTTCTGAGAGGTGGCAATCAAATAAAATCTGATATATATATGTGTCCTGTATTTTTTAATCCTGATCTTTGTCAAAGAATAGTCACACAACTCTTCACTCCACGATCGTTACAAAAAACATTACTTACTCAAAGTTTTATTTATCTTCATAAGTTATATGAAATAACTTCTCTAGATGAGTTGTGTGTACATTGAAACCATTTTTGTTGTAGCATCAATTGAATGTGTTAGTCAAGGTTGTTAAAAGTTACTTTCTCGTTACTGTGTCATTACTTTTTATAATAAACAATTTGATAATGACGTTGCAATTTTTTATGACAATAACGCTAACTAACTAAATGCTAAGGCTGGAAAAGTTACTTTGAAAAGTAACGCGTTAACTCACTAAAAATAATGAGTAACGAAGTAATAAAATAATAACTTTTAAATTTCATTATTCGTTACGAGAAATTGTAACTTAATTATCATTACTGTTACTCGCTAAAAAAGATAATTACGGAAAAAAAGTAACAAAAAAGTTAACTTTGTTACTTTTTTATATAATTTATACAACCCTGATGTTAGTCAATGAAAAGAATCATCGAAAAGAAGAATTCAGAAATGTACATATTCATCGCTTCCCAAAAGAGAAAGCGTTGATATTAAAGTGGGAAAAAGTCTGTGGCAAATCATTTCTTATTATATGACTTTTAATTCAAATAACTGGCAACATGGCGACATATAGTGTCACGTTTTCATTGGCTGTTAAAAACGTATGCGCAAGATAATGGCGCAAGAACACCGAGTTCCTTTCACCATGGGCGATAAACGAAACTTTGACACTTCGATCAGCGCGATCGGTTAAGCAGAACGGTGTCATGGCGCGGCAACAATGACCGAGAGTTTGTTTCTCATCGACGAATCTAGCGCGAAGGCTAATATGTGGAGCGGATTTCGCTGCAATAGGGCTTTCGTGATACTCATCCTGCTAAATGTGATTATCTTCCAAAGCATCATATGTGAGTGTTCATCCAGCTATCGTATTTCTTTCTCGTCACCACAAGTGTATAACCTTTACTCGTCCATGCTTGCAACGGCGTGAACTGCGTGAATAGCGAGTGAATAGTGCCGTTGATGGGCACTGTGCAGGTTTGGCGCGAGATTTAAAACGGAGTCGAATATCGTGGATCAGTGATTTTTCTTATTTTATTTAATTTAAATGAATGTTGTATAGACTTTTTTTGCGTATCGTGAGTTAAAGAATTATGTAGAATTTAAAAAAAATTAAGAAAGTTATTATGTAGTTTTAATATAATTTACAAAATGTTTATATAATTGTTCGAATTATATATTAGAATTGCTATATAATTTTTAACATGTCAATATATTTTGCGAGAACATACTTCATGTGAATATTATTATCAGTATATTTTTAAATAGATAAAAAACACTTACAAATATTATTATCTAGATATAATCAAATTGTGATAAAATTTGAATGATTATTATCAAGAATTGTGATTTATAATCAGGTTTCGAACGATAAAAGAATATTGAATCGCTGCTAATTTTAATACGTTTGAAGTTACTCTGGTAGAATCGTCAATATTATAATTTTGACGAATAAAGCCTGTATTTCTAATGCAGAAGAAAGAGAAATATATATAACGATTAATTATTGCAAGCGATGCAATAAAATATCTTATCTTTCCATGTATATAAACAATGTGTACATATTTGTAAGTGTAGATTATTGCCATTTACGCTCAACACTGTTTCGAAATCCCTGGTGATGTCATAATACTTTAGCTATTTATAATACACGCTGCATCTTTGCTATGACTTGTTCTTTCAGGCTCCCTTCACTCAAATATAATTTTCTGTATATCGCGGTGCTCATTACGAGTTTTGGACTGACGAAAAAGATATCGCCAAGATATTATCGCTAATAATTCCAATTGTGTTTTACACAGATTATCAGGAGCACAAGAAGTGGCAAGAGATAAGATCCAAGCTGGAGCCGATGATAGCAGATCTACGGGACGTGCAGGGATTGACGTATAGCTTGCTGAAGAGGCTGGAGGCGCACGGTCTCTTCGTCGAAAATGTCCGCGGGCGAAACGAGGGTAACCGGCCTGTGATCTATGCAATCACGCCTACGTTTGCCAGGCCCGTGCAAAAGGCCGAACTCACCCGGTTGGCACAGACATTTCTCCACGTGTCCAACTTTCACTGGATCGTCGTGGAAGATGCCCCGCAGAAGACCGCCCTGGTCTCCCGGTTTCTGGAGACAAGTGGTCTTATCTACACCCATCTGGCCGTGGCAACACCACCGAATTATAAGCTCGGCAGGAACGATCCAAACTGGAAGAAGCCACGCGGGGTTGAGCAACGAAATGCGGCGCTAAGATGGCTTAGGGAGAATCTCAAATTGTCTAACAAAGGCGTCGTTTACTTTGCCGACGATGATAATACTTACTCTGTCAAACTCTTTCACGAGGTGAGGCGGATGCCTTCGGAGAATGATTTTTCTAAATAAAATCACGCGATCATTTTTTAAATATCTCTTTTTCTTTCAGTCAGCGATTTAATTCAGAACAGTTTACTTATTTTATATTCTCAATTTTTTACATAATAATTATGATGGGAAGTGATTCAATTATTTTTCCTAATATCAAATTGAAAGATAAAATTTAAAGCAATTAAAAAAAAATAAATCGTGATCTACTCGATTAATTTTACTTAGATATGTACTAATTATTGCTTCCAGATGGAGAAAATACAAAGAGTCGGCGTTTGGCCAGTTGGCCTAGTCGGTGGTCTAATGGTAGAGAAGCCTATTTGTGACAACGTCACTAATAAAGTAATAAGTTTTAACGCGGCTTGGAAACCGGACCGACCATTTCCACTCGACATGGCAGGCTTCGCAATTAATCTTGAACTCTTACTCAAACACACCGACGCGTGGTTCTCGTTTGATGTGCAAGGTGGTTACCAGGAGAGCGAGATACTTAGGCAAATAGTCACCAAGGATCAGTTGGAGCCGCTGGCGGACTGCTGCACTAAGGTATCGAGAAATTTACTTGGAATTTTGTCGATAACTTTCAATATACTTGTGATTCTTGTGAAAATCTAAATGTATTTTAGGTATATGTGTGGCATACGCGAACAGAACCGCCGCAATTGAATGTCGAACAAATGTTGATCAAAAAAGGCAAGCGTTCCAATGCTGGCATTGAAGTATAAAGAAAGACATTATTCTCATCATTATTCCAATGTGCAATGTGTTATGCTTTCTATGAGAATTTAATAATTTAATTTGATATTATTATAATTAATAATAAAATACGTTAATATTATATGTACATATTTGTACATACGTTGACATTTTTTAAAAAGATAAGACATTTAAAACGAAGCGTATAAACGCTGATTGTACTGAATTTTGCATATTGTGTATATACATGTAGAATAATGCAGTGCCATTCTGTACAGCTGCTTATAATTGCAGACGTAGTAGCGATGATAAAAAACAATCATTAAAAACGAATAATTCTAGTGAATTATTATTTGAATCTCCAAGAATCATGTGATATCGCAATGTGCTTTAGATAGTTTGGATTACTAATCCGCATGTCGCTGCCACGTTTGTCGTAAAAAATTAACGATCTTTTGTTATTCTCATGATGACTAATATAACGATTTTGTTATATTGCGTCATCGTTTTATAAAAAAATTTACCCATAATTATTGTAATAAGTTAATTATTGTAATAAAGTTTTTGAGAAAAACCAGAGAGGCGTAGG